AAAATTAGACAATAAAGATGATATTCAGCCAGGGTAGTTTGGTAGCTCCACAGACTTCAATGACTATCCCCAGTTTAAAGGCTCTATTTTAATTTTCATCCAGGGACGACTAGTGACAGCAGCTGAGGATCAGGAAGATTGTGTCCTTAACCGCATCCTATTCAATGCTTGAAGTTCTTCCAGCTAAAAGAACCATTTTGGAAACAGCTCTTTGTGTGCGCCAAACTATGCAACGTATTGCAGCAAGGAGCTCGAAAGCAGCAGTAAGAAGACTTCAAGGAAGTTACAGTAATGTTGGTCACACTGTCCCTACTGAAATGCGGTTTGAGAGCTGTTATGATGCAGACAGCAGCTAGTGTTTCATTTTTATATGCTCTATTCTCATTTTACTTACCATTACATAAAGTATTTGGTTATTTGAGAGACACGGTGGGTGAGGTAATACCTTTTCTTAGACCAAGTTCTGTTGGTGAGAGAGACAAGCTTTCAAGCCACACAGAGCTCTTCTGCAGGTTATTTAACAGGCAGAATAAGCATTACATAAAGACTGGTTCTAAGCATTCATAATCCCTTCATAATCTCTTCACCAGCAAGGCTTCGGTATTGGATATGTGGATTGGGAAAATGTAAAAGAAATCTAGGAATAAATTAACCCATTAACAAGTTTTAATTTCTGTGTCAGAGGATACCGTTTACCACAGACAAAGATTCGTTTCAGTTCACTCCCCTTAAATTTAACTATAAACAACCACAAAACTTGTGAACTGACTGGATACAGATCTTGCTTAAATGAGTAGTAAATATTTCTGTGATGCCTCTCTGTCCACATTTTGGCATAAGAATGCTGAAAGGTGAGGGGGTAATTAGAAGTTAGTAGCACAGTGGGATAGGCAGGCAGAGAATATCTTCCTGCTTTGAAAGAAATAGAAGGAAGGTGAGGTATGCTGCTACCAAGACTGGGTCCAATGGCTTCTCTTTTTGGGGAATGCAGCAATGAGATGCTCCTTTAATCACTGTGCAGATATCAAAATGAAAAGTAACTTTATAAAAACGTAGATAAATCATTATGAACAGGAGGAACCAATATCGACAACTCTTTTTGTTGTTTGGAATATTTCTTAAAGCACCAGCCCCCAGAGTCATGTGATTTTTGAGACTCTCACTTTAAAACACTGTAATGTAAAATGCACCTGGAAAGCAAGTTCAGGGTCAGTTTCTACTAACATGCCAGAAATGAACATTGTGACAATGGGAGCTAGGCATACTGACTGCAAAGTTACATACCATGTGACAGGGAAGATTAATAGATCAAAAAACATCCATGAAAAAATCAAATAGTCCTTCACCTCATTCAGCAAAATATTTAAATCTGGCTAGTGAAAAATGAAAACTAAAGTTCAAAAAACAATTTTGAAGGCATTTGCATTTCAGAGGTTTTATTAAAAAAGCAATTCTTCATTTATTCAAAAATTTTCACAATTTATTATTTTTTTTATAGAAAATGTTTCTCTTCCCCCCTCCCCCCGATTTTCAGTTTTTTGGATCTGCTTTCCTCCCCTTCCTTTCTCTTCCTTTTTTATTTTTCCACTGGAAAAGAGAAAAGTAGATAAAAAACCAGAGATGATAAACACAAAAATAAAAACCAAACACATTTTTCTCTTTTTATTTTTGCTGAAAAAAGCCTGAACATTAAAACGAAACGACAATTTTCTGAGTGCCAAAACCCCTGTTTCCATAAAAAAAATGTTTTCATTCAAAAATTTCAACCAGTTCTCCCTATCAGCGTGTGCTGAAGTTCATCCTTTTTTAGCAAAACTCTGAAGTGCGGAACTAGGTGCTCTGCTGAACAGGGCCAGACTGCTGAATCAGGGGCTACGGCAGTGGTTCTCGGCCTTCTGGGGCTCAGGACCCATTTGTAAATATCGACAGCCTGTGGCAACCCAGGAAATAGGTTGGGGGGCCGGGACGGGGGGGCAGATCCTCCCCTTGGGGAGAGGGCTCACAGTGCCTACCCTGCACTCACCCTGCAGTGCTACCTCTGGTTTAGCAGGGCTGGCCTTGGTTCCCTGCTCCAGGCATGTGACCTCCAGGGTGGCAAAGTTGCTCAGGTTTGGCCCCATCCCCCCTCATGGGGGCTGCTGGGCCATATTTGTGTGTGTGGTCCTGGCTATATCTCGGCACTCATCTGCCTTCCCCTCCCTACAGTCTTTGCTCCGTTCACATTTTCTGGTTTACCACCTCCTCCATGTCATCCTTCTCTCACTGTTTTCTTCCCATCCTCTTCCATGCTGCCTTTTATATGTTTGGAACAGCCTGTAGGGGCACGGGCACCAAATAACTTTCCTTCTATCTCTGCCCCTTACTTTGGCAATGAAAAATTCAGGGTCAGGATCAGGAGTAATTGCCAATCCATGTTTTCAGGTCAGCAGACTTGGAGGTGCATACCATTTGGAGCCCAGAACCGTAATCATCCTTGGCGAGTAGGATAGCTTTAAAGATATAAGGTTCATTTGTGCAACTTTTACGCGGGAGAGGAGTTTCTCACTCAAGCAGCTATACTGAGTTCACTGGGCCCATTCATCCTCGTGAGTATGGATAGCAGAGTTGGGCCCATTTTTTGCAGAAATCTGTACAGATCTCATGATCAAATCAAGCACAAAGTTTGTGACAAACTGCAGCGAGCTGTGCAATTCTAATGAATGCTGTGTGTATCTTTGCAAAGTCGGGAATTTTCTACAGGGAACGCTGCTGTTTTGTCACCTAATTGTTACCAAAGATTCAGAGATAATTTCTCTTTTTGTGGCGAAAACATACATTTCTAGGGATTTGATTGTGTATTGCTCCTTGGTCCCCAGACAAATTACACATGAAGCAAACTTTCTATTCAAGTTGCTCAGCTAAAAAAAACATGTTTTACATAAATTGATAGCACCATTCCCAGCTGAGAACAGGTTACTATTCCAGCGAGAGGTTGGCATTCTGACATTAAATATGCATTGTTAATCTCTGTGATCTGCACCTATTTACAAGAGGGAAAGCAATTATCTGTCCAGAAAGCAGCTTTCAGAGCTGAAATGAAGCTGTGAAATGCTGTGTAAAAAAAAAAAGCAGAAATGTAATCAGGCCACTTGCTTGATTCCCCCATCAGTGTCAAAGAGAAGGCTCTATTTCCAGTATATGCACCAGACAGCTTTACTCTCCTCGGCCTTACCTGAAATGAAGTGGTGGGGTGTATATTAACCCGGGCCTGGTTCCAGTGCTGTCCCTTATTCCCACTTGAAGACCATACTGGATTTTCTATTGTGGTCTGTCCCTTTAACCGCAGATAAACATTCAAGCTTCCTGCAAAAACACCCAGTAACAACATTAGTCAGTTTGGTTCTTTTGCACAGACAGTTTCTTTGTAAATAGTGTTCAGGTGTGTGCAGATTCCAATGCAGACACTCTTTGCTACAGGTAACAATCTGTCTTGATGCTTTGCAGCCCCTCCCTTAGGCATTTGCCCCGTTCCCATTGTGACACACTGTACCTCAAAGTAGCACCCTGGAGCCCCCTTATTCACCACTGTCATATAATTATATGGTTTGTACAATGCCTGGCTTGTAAGGTATTTAAAAAGTCTGTTGAACCTTAATATCCCATTGGATTGTCGGTGCTGTCATTGTACGTGAAGTTATGAAGCTTTGCGATATGTGCTACTGAAGTACGTTGTGAGGTTGGGAGATGCCACAGCCAGCTTTTCAGTAAGGACAAAGGAGCAGCTATGACTGGCCAGACAATGGCCCATCAAGAAGAATCCACTCTCTGAGAGATAGCTTGGAGAGGGCATGTACCTAGATGGGGACTGTCTGACTAATGGGGACTGCATGATCCCCACGTCACGGCAAGGATCTTGCTAGCAGATGGATGAAAGTATAAAAGAGGGACTGTGCAATCATCACTTGGCCTTTCCTCCCCCGGCCCCATTTCAACTCCTGGAAGATCCTCTGGAAGACAACAACTTTGAACTAGGGAGATTGGTCCCAGTCTGTGTATTGAAGAACCGGGAGCTGCCCGCAACGTCTGTTAGGTGAGAGACTGCTTGATTCCAATCTTGCTTAGTCTGTTTAAGATAGAATTTAGGCTGCATTTCTATTTTTATTTCTTAGATAACCAACTTTGATCTCCAAGTCTGCTACTTATAATCACTTAAAATCTCTCTTTCGGTAGTTAATAAATCTGTTTGATATTTTACCTAAAACAGTGGGTGTTTGGTTACAGTGCTTGGGGGAGCTCAGCTCGGATTACAAAGCCTGGTGCACGTCTACATTCCTTTGAAGTGGCAAACTTATTAACAAGCTTGCACTGTCCAAGGGAGACTTGAGCAGTGCAAGATGGTATATTTCTGGGGTGCAAGGCTGGGATGATTGGCGGGTGCCTCTCTCTGTATGATTCACGGGTGGCTCAAGGGGCATTCCTGGAATTTTGCTGGGGGTGGGGCTCCACATGCTGATGATCGCAGCGTCTGGAGGGATTTTGCTGCTTGTCACTGGCATAGCATTGTGTGAGAGCGTCCAGGCTGAAGAGTTAAGGGAGCACAAAGGTCCCACAGATTCAGGTTGTACCCCAGGGTGCCATCACACCCATATGTCTCCCTTAGGTATTCTTTATTCATTCGGTCTTTGATTAGGAATGTGACATGTTTTTTTCCTGCCGTTGCAAGTGACAAAATCATAAGCGTCACATAGAATTTGGCAGGATTTAAGAAGTCACAAAGTTCACAGACTCGGTGCATGTTTCTCATGCGCTTCCCATCAGACACAGCTTTCTCCTGCTGCCTGGAGGCTGGAGGTGTCCTTTATATACCAGCCTTTAAAAAAAAATCGTTTTTGCCTTGATTTGAAAAAGTTCACAGCGTCAAAGCTCTCAAAAGCCACCGTTCTCTAGGGATGCAAAGAACAGCAAAACCTTGAGTAAAACACGTCCCCTGGAACGTTAATTATGTAATTTCTCCAGCACCCTGGGAATGCAAAGTACAAGTTAAGTTTACAAATAGACCTCTTTTCTGAGAGACACCTGCACAATGACACAGCTCAAAGTCACACAAAGTTCTGGTACCTAGTACAACTCACTGCCTTGAAAAACACAAGGTTAGATTTAAAAAAAAACACACACACACACAACGGAATGAAATGCGCATATGTAAAAAGCAGCAGGAAATGTGCCTGCAGCTGATGGTTACACAGGCACACCAAGAATCAGGCCCACACCTTACCTTCAAACTGGGTGAAATGTGTCTTAGTGCCTGAACAGTTTTTTTTTTTAACACGGTAGCATTTGATTTTTCAATTGAAAGGAAGAGAGAGAAGCAGTAGGGAGGAGACATGGACTTTAGGTGGACACCCTGTCTCTCTTCAAACACTCAGTGGGCAGGGCAACCCAGCTAGAAGGGCCCACAAACATCCAGAACGAGGGGGTGGCATGCACTGTAGCTGTTTCTGAAGCTGTGTGGGAAGTTTGGGCCAGCAGTCACGCAGGTTTCACACATGTTCACCATCTGTGAGATGAGCCAACCAGGGCTCAGCATTGGGGGAAGGATCGCTTGGCTCTTGTGAAATAAGAACCAGCTCCAAACTGAATGGGAAGCTCTTGTAAGATTCATGCCAGTTCAGCTAAAATAATTCTCCTCTTTTCCTGCTTGCTTCTTCACTGGTCCTGGGTGCAAGATCTGAAATGAGGAAGCCTCCAAGGCTAGGCAGAAAGAACAGCTATCGTTAGAGATTTCAGCCTGGCTAGGAGTATGGTAGCTTAAAGAGAGTTGGGATGGGAAGCTGGTAGGCTTCATAGCCCGGGTGGATGGGTGGGAAGAAAAGAATCAAAGGGCTAGGGAAGGTGGGGGAGAGAACTGGATGAGGGCAGTAGTTGGAAAGAAGGGTGGTGAGGAGATACCCTGAAGAACAAAGGGAAGGGGAGCCAGGAGGAGGAAGATCCACCGAAGGTAATGCTGACACATAAGTCAACAAGGAAGAGTTCAGAGTTATGGGCTCCCAGGGAAGAGAAGGTCTTGAGCAGACAAGAATGGCTTAGCGTGTTAAAAGCAGTAGTGAAGAATGACTATGGAGGGGAGACCCATAGAGCAGGGAAAAGACAGCAACGTGCAGTGAGTTTTGTGTGGGCAGGTTCAGGGCACATGCCAGATTGTAGGGGATGAAGAGGACAGTAGGAGCATGTTCCAGGATGTTAGAGATGAAGGGAAGCAGGAAGTTAAAGTGATAACCGGGAGAGGAAGGAGGGTCTAAGTGAGGTTTTCTTATGGGCAGGGAAATGGAGCAGAATTGGAGCAACCAGTTAGAAGAGTGAGATAAGTTGCCAGGGACTGCAGGTATGGGAGCAGTTAAGGGAGACATGGATTGTTTAGTACAAGGTTGAGCAGAACTGCAGGAAGAGAGTGTGGTATCCTAAGGCTTGGGTGCTTTCCAAACAACTACTGGAGATACATTAGAGAAAAGCCAGCCCACCTGTGACTAGTCACAGCATGAACTTAAATTTATGCTAGTTTAAAGAAAACTATTACATATAATTTTAATTTTCATGAAGATCCAAAATAATGCCAATAGCAAGCAATGCACCAATGTTGTTTCAATGTATTATCCACTAGTGCTGGGAGATACAGATTGTGACATACAGCTGGGTGGGTAGGACAGGCTGATCTGGGGGGAGGGATAGCTCAGTGGTTTGAGCATTGGCCTGCTAAACCTAGGGTTGTGAGTTCAATCCTTGAAAAGGCCATTTAGGGACCTGGGATAAAAATCTGCCTGGGGATTGGTCCCACTTTGAGCAGGGGGTTGGACTAGATGAGGTCCCTTCCCTCCCTGATATTCTATGATTACAAGACTCAATTATTTAGGCCATAGAGGATGCTAAATAAAAGATCAATCATACAACCACCAAACTCTGTCACGTAGTTCAAACTAATGACAAGAGGACTACATCTTTGAGCATTCTTGCTTAAAAGAACAGGCGTTACTTCACCAGCTATGTTCAGGCCATCTCAATCAAGCTGGCAGCTTCTTGAGTTTATTTACACACACCTACCTGTGTCAGCCCCAAATGCATTTGCAAATGTGATGGATTCAACCTGCAGTAAACACCTATTCTTGAAATGTATAACTTGCTGCCAGTCATGGCTGTGCATACTTGCGGAACACCACAAGTCCTGCATGTAAGACTCGTTTTGAAAAATTGACCCATGGTGAACATTTCTTTTAAACTGAGAACAATTCTGACCTACAGGAAAATGAGCAGCCAAGCGACCCTTGAGCAGATAAAACAAATTGCAATGGAGACATGTTACATTTTTGCATAAAAATAAATCAGAGGAGTTCATGTTTCGGATGGTTTTATAGCACGGGAACTCTTGAGCTAACTTGTTGAAGGTGAGGAGAAGCTTTAACGACTGTATTAGCTTTTCAGTGGCATCCATTGGACCCTATCTTACTGAAATAGTGATGTCAGGCAATATTCTGGTACACAGTTGTTTTTATTTTGGTTTGCCAGTCTTTCAATAAATACAGACTGACCCTGGTGCCTCTTTGCTTTATTCCTTGTTCCCCCAACAACACGGGACTACACTGAGAGGCTGCCGTCGATCAAGTAGATTGGAAATAAGGTGATGTAGGACCCAGACCGACTGCACCACTTGTGAAAACCTGTGGCACTTTAGCCCTGGCACTGCTTAGAGAGTGTGTGCCACTTCATTGTTCCAGTTACAAACGTATGAAAATATTATTGTGGCCCAAACCTGCCAAGTGCCGATCACGTTACACTCCCACTGAACAGGAGCTGGAGTTACAGGAGCTCAGCACCTCACAGGAGAGAGCCCACATGAGCAGCCATTCGCAGAGACAACAGACACGAACGGTCTCCTGTCTGTATTGCCAGGGATAATCAACGTTAACCCCTCGAAAAAGTGGACATGCAAAGTTGATGCGCCCTCGTTGGACTGGCAGTCAGGAGGATGTGAGCATTCTCAGGGTTAATTCTGTATGATCTGACAGGAACTTCTCATATGATTCGCAGTTTAAAGCAATGTATATTTGGGAGTAAGATTAGAAACACACACCCTAGTTCCAAACCTAATTGTGATAGGACAGGGAATTCCATGCCTGCTTTTCTCTTGGGAGTTAGGCTTTAGCCTAACATTATAATGAATTTGGTAATCTCATACCCAGTCCTCATTTCTCCACAGACGCTCCCTTTTCCCTCTTGGCCATTATACCAATAGTAGCGTGATTGGCAGGCTGCGCTCCAGAGGCACCCAAGCCCCGACAAGCAGACGGACAGCTCCTCAGGACTGAGATGCTGTGGCAGAGCTTTCTCAAAGCGGTGCTATTATTTCTCTCTCATCCTGAGGAGCACTAAACTCACCCGTTTTTCAAAATGGCCAAACCAAACCTACCCGTCTTACAACCACCATCAACTGTTGTCCTCGGAATCCTCTGCCATCTGGTTGGGCAGCTGTGCTGAGGGCAGAATTCGGCCCTGTCACAATGAGCACACACTAAACTTCTGTTAAGTCTCAGCAGAGAAGCCAAGGATTGAGCAGACATGGAAACTTCCCCTGATACATGGCCCCTACGGTAGACTGAGCAGCACCGGAAAGACCAATGATGTGATGATGCTTTGGACAGAAGTCCAAAGGGATGTCAAGCTGACACCTTACTCAACTCTACCATTACCTTAGAAAATGCTGGCTACTGACACGCCTCACTGTATCCTTTACTGCCCAATTTCCATGGGAATTTAAGTTTCTTTGACTGATACTCAGTAAACCCGATGCGGCCTCAGCATCTCTTGCCATTATGAAGAAAGCTCTGATGAAGACCTGCCTTGGGGCTGCCTCGAAGTGGTTAGTCATGCAGTGGCAACTAACAAAACTCCTTCAAATCCTCTGCTTTATTTAAGGGCTAAATCCTACCTGGAGGTAGGCAGGAGAGTCCAAAAGGAACCACTAACATGCATCTGAGGGAGGGCATTGCCCCGAAAAATGTAATTTTGGCAACAATAACTTGAAATCAGCTTGATGCTGGAAATCCATTCAGACACATTCTGATGCTGTGTTCACTTATATGGGGTTTTCTGGGATCTAGAGAGACCTGCCTTCTTAATACATAAATATTTATCACTGAGATACACCAGCATCCTTCAGATATGGCATGTACGGCGTTAAAAAACAAAAACCTACTTCGGGCTGTTTCTTTTGCTTTTTCATCTAGGGCCAGGACCAGCCTGCAGAAATCCATCCTGGGATGTTGCAACAGCCATCAGAAGAGAGTTATAGCTGCTAATCAACTGACCCCAACCCTCGCCTCCCCACGGCAGGGGACTCAAAATACTGGTGTAGTACCAGCAAAGTGCTTACAGCCCTTTCTCTCTGCCATACTTGAAAATTCCCTTTCTCAAAGCCACATCCACATGCACTTAGAAGGGTTTCCTGTTGCTGCCCCATGCTTTGAAGGGAGTGGTTCTCTACTGCCCCCAAGAGTGGGCTGTGCTGAACAAGCCCAAAGCGATGAAGGTGTTAATTGGCATGTCTTATTACAAACTGTATTACCATAGCACCTGGAAGTCCCAGTCACGGAGCAGAACCCCATGGTGTTAGGTGCTGTACAAAGGGGATGCTGCTGACCTTTCCTTTCTCGGTAAGATGTGTGTGTTATTTTTCCTTTAATAAACCATAGTTTCTCCTGTAATTTAAATGACAAGATCGTTGGGTTCCTCTCACCTATGTGCTGTCCGTACATGTGATAGTAGAAACTAAAACAATATGCTGTGTTGGTGACTCCATAAGGGTTTTTAGGGGCTACGCTGAAAACAGGACTCAGAAGCCTGGCCTTTTCTCCTTCCAGCCTCGGGCGTGACGTTTCAATGTACATGTAGAAACCTAGAAGAAGGCCAGAACAGAAATCGTTAAGTTCAGTCTTTAAACACACACACTCTCTCTCTCTCTCAGAGTAAGGATGCTCTGCACAAGAACTGTTACGAACCTTGAACAATTTTTCACATTCATCTGACACCGCTGGGCCTTGTTTGCTGCACTTGACCTGCATAAATCCCATGTGCTTCCACAAACAAATGCTTCAATGAGATTTTTTTTCTATTAACTGTAAAAATCTCTGCTAGTAGTTCAGTACGCACAAGCAACAGTAAGGCGATAAACCAGTGCGTATACACAAGAAAGGGGGAAATTATTTGTTTAGGTTCCAGATCTCAGTCTCAAGGTGGCAAAGTGTCTATATGAATAGTGAAAGAAGAATTATTTTTAAAATAATGAAAAATTTCTTCATGGCATCGCTTCAAGGAGCCTTTTCGATAGCCCTACCAATCACAGTTCAAAAGCCCATCCTCCATGAAAGAACACATTATTCAATGATCCTGATTCTAGTCTATGTCAGCATTATAGATACGATAATGACTTGCTCAATAACTGTAACCAAGCACAGTCAATGCAAGCATTACTGTGTTTGGTAGTGCAGGTGGGGTGTGGAATATAAAGTAGTCTGAGCGATCACAGTCCTGCACGGTAAGTCTGAAAGTCACCGTTCGAATACATACAGAAAGCAGAATCCAGCACTTTAGTTAACAGGGATGACAGATTTCAAATCACGCCCTTTAGCAGGATACAAAATGAAGACAGGACAATGAAACTTTTAGCTCTCACAATCTGCTAGTAAGAATTTAAATGACTACAAGCTACAGAATGTTGTAGGAAGTTTGAAATATACATCACTACAGAACCTACTGCCTGAAACTGATCATCTTTAAAATGGCATTAGAAATGGTAACAAACAGGACTGGTCAGGAGGCACAAAGTTTGGTTTTAGATACAGATCTGACCTCTGTATGTAAATGTTCAGATGCAAGATTTTGCTTTGGGATCATCTCTATTAAATGTTATGGAGTCCCTACAGAATTAACATAGGCCAGTATTTTCATCCTAAATACTGCTGGGTGTCATTAAGAAAAGACAAGGCTTTGGGCCTCAACATGTTGGGTAGATCCTCAGTGGAGCTTTGTTGATTTGCATTAGCTGAGGGTCTGTCACTGCAGAAATCTAAGCTATGTTTTACCTTCTTTGGAGCCACTTCGGTCTGCATTGGGTCCAGTGTTTGGGGTATATTTTGTGTCTCTGGTGGCAGTGCTTTGTTTCGTCCAGTCAAAATTATCCGTATCATCTTGAGTGAATAGACATATGTTGCCATCTTCAAATCCACAGTGAAACTCTCCTACAGCCAACACAGTAAATTAACATGACTTCAGTCATTGTAACCATTGTATGCGTAACTGTCAAAGGTCTTGCAGTGCCACAACCATTTTAAAGGACAATGGTCACTATTAACATTGGACATTTTTTTGAAATTCGGGTAGAATATCGAGGATGTGTCTTCCTTTACGATCGTTATTTTATTTATTATTTTAATTGCTAAAAAATACACCTGACTATCACTCCAGGCATACGTGTAAACAGAAAACATGTACAGATCTTATCAAATAGATCCCCCTCCACCATTCAGCATTATCCTTCAGCCCTTATTAGCCCTTCCACCCTTCGGAAAAGCCTCAGAGAACAGATAAGCATTGCAGCATGCCTTTAAGGCCAAGAGAGTTGGACTCCGGTTTAAGGAGGAAGCAAGGCTTACAATCAAAGACTTTAACTGAGTAATTTCCAGAGGTCTCCTCCTGTTTACAACGTGGGATTGTCAACTCATGCGACTCAGTGTATCGCAGCTGAGTGTATCATTATTACATGAGCACAGAGTTGTACTCTTGGGTAGCCAGGAACCCAAACCATCCAAGGCTTTGGGGCCTGGATTCTCAAATCCCTCCCAGCAGTGTAAGGCCCCAAGGCACCTGCTGAACTTTACGCACACGAGCAGTCCCAGTGAATGCACTGCTCCAGCGAAGGCCAATGGATGTATTTCTTCACTGTCCCTACTTCTGGCCCCCGTGTGTTTGTTACAACATCCTCCATAGGTGTGCATTTTGTACTCACCACATGGAGTAGTGCTCCACTGGCCTCCAGAGAACTAGAGCTGGGCAAATAATGGATTTTTTGGTTCCCTGGCACATCCACATTTTAAAAGAATAATAATAATTTTGGTTCAAACCAAAACTGAATTAAAAAAAAATTGAGTGAATTGTTAAGCCAAAAAAAAAGTTGAGTCGAGGCAATGTTAAAAGTTTCATTTCAATGCAACTCCAAAAATTCCATGCCAATTTCGGGGATTTTGACCAAAGCCAATGAAGACTTCATTTACAAAATGCATCAGGTGGGGTAGGAAGGAGACCTAACTGATAATCTTTAGTACAGTGATAACCTTTAGCCTCCTGGCATATGGGAGAGCCACATTCTATGCCCCCTACACCTCATATGAAAAAGGGATTTGAACATGGATCTTCCCCATTGCAACAGCATGCACTAACCATCGAGCTAGGGGTCTCTATCAATTTCTCATGTTGAATCCGTTCCGTTTCTTATCAATAATTAAATAATCATTGAAGCAGGGACTTGAACTTGGATCTCCAACATTCCAGGAGACTGCTCTAACTACCAGTTATAGAGTCATTTTCACATGTGCTCGCTGGCACAACGGCTATTTTGACAAGTTCTACATAGGACTACTCAGGGGTGTTAAGTCGAGCAGGTGTCTAAATGTTTGCAGGTTTGGGAGTTTAAATATGTAATATAGCCACTCAGGTCAGTGATGTTGTACTGTGTCAGTGAGATCAGCATACAGGCCCTTGGAGTTGAAGCTAGGTTTGGGTAAGGATCCCAAAGAATGGAGGCCAACCTGAAGCTGATCTGAAATAATCTAATACCCAAATCTGAAAAATTAAGCTTGAAATTTCATCCCAAGCCCCATGGCCATTTTGAGAGATTTTTCTGGTTCTTCCTCAACCCGTTTCTGGTTAGGCTAGGAGGACAGTAAGAAAAGTGTCTACTTCATAGTACTGAACGTGAAACATTCCCCTACAAAACCAGGTTATCCCAGACACATATGTCTACTCCCTCAGTACAATGATCAGATTTACTTCTTTTCTCAGATAAACCCACTGAGTTGAGTAGAGTCATCGCCATTTGACTGTAAGAATCAAGTTAACTAAAACACAATCGCTCAGTTGACCTGAAAGGATTGTTCACCATCAGTATGACTCAGAGTCAAGTGTACATTTGTTTAATTATGAAACCCACCCCTCACATCATTTTGGAGTCTAATTTAATAGAAAACTTGCAATATACAAAATCGTTAAATACATGAGCACCGTCACAACCACAACAGAGAAGAAATCCGAAAACCAGTTACACGCTCTGTGGAATCCAATAACCCGAATAATGACGCATGTGAACTGATGCCGATTAGCATCTGCGGCTTCATATCTTAGTTCACAAAAGAGTAGACAGTGACACGGACAAAGCTCATGAAAGAAGCGGTGCAGTGCGGGGCAGATGAAGGACTATGAACAAAATACAAGCTGAGCAGGTCACCTTTAGAAATGTATTTTACACTGATTTGATATTAAAATAGCTTGTGCCATAAAGTTACCACCACCTGATGGCCGTTCAGTAGCCATATCTACACTACACTTGAACCCCAATGCGATCGATGCAGCAGCATCGATTTAGTGGGTCTGGTGAAGACATGCTAAGTCGATGAGAGAGTGCTCTCCCGTGTACACTGGGCTCCCCTCCACATAGACAAGTCCTTACTATAGCTCCCAAGGTGCTTAGCTGCCTTAGGAATATGACAGATGGATGGAAACTGCAGCCTCTGATCCTTGTTTATATTGTGCTCAAAGGACAGGGTGTTGCTAGCAGGTGCTGTGGAGGATGGGATGGGACTGGCAACACTTCCACGAGGATCCCCACTACAAAACCTGAAGGACAAGCTAATGCTATAGAACACGTTAATTTAGATAAATTTGGCATTAATTTGCATGGGCCCCTCCCACAAATCCTCCCTCAAGGTGATTCAAGGGGCAGTTGTGGTTCAAGGGGTCTCCCGACAACAGGAATCATACTGATGAGGGGCTTGAGAGAGCCAAAAGTGGCCAAACATCCAAGCAGATCTCAGACAAGCCACAGGCTTCGTGGTCCCAACCCACTGCCACTTGTGGGGGCTGTGTGTGGGCCCTCTCCCCTCTCCACTGACCCAAAGCGTTGCATTAATAGCGAGCTCTGAAGATGGAAACTCAGAGTCGCCAGTACCTTACTGCTCTTGCACAGAGTGATACAATTCAAGGATGAAATATTGCTTACGTGACAGCTAACCAGAGTGGAAAATGAGTAAAATCTGATTCAGCTCCTACAACAAGCTGAGTTAAACCCAAAGTCAGCTTCACTGTCCGTCTTGCCATTTCTAACTCTGCTGCAGTAGTTTAAAGGCTACATTTGCACTTTGAAGAATGTTGCAGAAGGTTCATTTAGAAATTCTACATCAGCAGATTAAAAGCCTTTTTCTTTGAGTGAGCAAAAAAATTTTCAGGCCCAATGAAAAAGTAGGCACAAGTTTGCCATTTATTTAACACAGAGTCAGCTGCAAATGGCATTTGGAATAAATTGGACAGGGCTAGTGCCAAGTATTTTTGGCACTATATACATATAAACAAATAGACAAAAGTATAAACATGAAATTAACTTGAGAGATCAGATCTGTATATTTCCTGCCTGAGAATTCAAGAGGTTTTGAACAGATCTTCCCTGTCCTTTAGTCATCCATTAAAGAGGTATATCATGAGTGCTGGCAGTCTGTGCTTCCCAACACAATCCTGTCTGGCTGAGATGCCCCAGCTCATGACAGGCTGGATAGGTCTTTAGGTCCATTCAAATTTTGTCCTATCTTCTAAGCGCATCAATAAGGGAGCCATTTAGCACTGTAGCCTGGGATTAATTTAGGTTGCAAAGTGCACCTGTCACAAAGACAGGCTATTTGGTGCTAATTAAGAAGATGAGATTGCTGAAACACACACCAACTTTATGACTTGAGTTAATACAGATGACTATAATTGAAATAATAGAAAAAACAAATCCATAAGTGTAAGAATAAAAGAAGTGCCGAAGTTTCCTGCATTGTTCATACTTACAGTCTTACACTATGCATACCTACAACCTCGCTGAGACCGTTGGAAACAAAGATGGAGGAAACAGTCAGTGGAGCATGCCACAAGAGGAGATGATGGTTTTGGATGTCACCTCCACTGTCATTCCAGATCTCCCCACTAGGGCTAGGTTTGACAAACTTTTAGACACCTTTCTCCATTCCACCCCCATACATCTGGGGCCATATCTGTTTAAGTCTCAGCCCTTATTCATAGCGAGTATTCCAGGAGACCAGCGTTAGGTTCCACCTGTCTACATGTGTTATTTCAGTTGACCATAGTCATATTTCCAACAGGTAAGCCAGCCACTCGCATCAGTCCCTTTCCCAATAGTTTTGGTATGTCAATGTGGTTAACTCTCATTGCAAAAAGCCTCTAAGATGCTACCAGCTGTTTGTGGTGTACCTGTTTACCATAAAATGCATTGCTAAACTGTAACAAGATACACATTACTAAATTTTACAACCTCCAGCCCCAGGACCCCGCTGGGCTGGGCCCCATAGATGGAAATGCTGGGCTCAAGCCCACCTCAGGCTCCTGCGTTTCTGTTTACCACACCCCATGCTGCCTTTGGTGTGGGGAAGGTGCAGCTGCCATACATCATTTCATAACCTTTGTTCAAGCAATAATACCATGCTAACAAATATATGCCTAACATGCCTCAGTAGGCCTCAGCATATTCCAAGCCTCACTTAACATGAATATTCATACTTTACATCCTCCTATTTGCATCTCAGCCATATTGGCTTCACTCACAATTATCAGAAGCACTTTTGCAATACGTATAATGTTTTCACCCCTCAGCTCACAGAGAGTCTTATAAACTGGCCTTATAATTCAGGATCAGGTCATGGGCCTCTGGTCAACCGCACCAATATGGTGGTGGCTTTTATTTTCCAAGCACATGGCAATTTAGGAACTGGATTGAGGCCATTAATTAGTTTCACTGCTAAGCAGGGCCAAATGTGAAAAAGCATCCTCAAGACAAAATGCTCTGCATGCTATCATGAATCCCTCAGGTCATCCATTCCCCCACAAAACCCAAATTTAAATATGAATATTTATATTTGAATCTCTTTCCTTCTTGAGACATAACTTCTGTTCACATTAATGGGAGCTACATGCATCT